CATCATCAGCAAAGCTGGGATGAGTTGGATCAATACCAGTGTCAATAAACCCAATCACAATTCCTTCTCCTGCAGTTTCATATCCGCCTTCTTGGGACCATGCTCCCTTCGGTAGACCCAAGAACTGTGGAGTATGGGTGGTTGCAGTTCTAACAGAGAAATCCAAGACAACATTTGCAACTTCTCTTCTCCTTGAAAGCTTGCCTACCTTGGAAATAGAAGAATACAACTAAGTAAGAACCTTGTTCCTAAATTATAAGAAAAGTTTCAAAAAGGAAATTAAACGTTTCTGTGTATTTGAGATACTAAGAGCGTAAATGATATGCAAAACTATACAAAAGGGTAGACGTCAAACATATTTTTTGGATTTAGAAAGTACAAATAAAAGAATATACTGTAATGATATAATATCAAAAAGCATTCAGCAGCACAATGATGATGATAACATGACAAAATGATGGTTAATTGTGAGGAATGTCGATTGATGATATACCTGTTCAGGGGTAACAAGCACAGCAAAGCCATTTATCAAGTAGTGGTAACTATACAACTTCAGATATTTCTCCCCCCTCAAGGCTCGCCTCAATATAGAATCATGAACTCGAGAAAAATAAGAGCTAGAATTTTGATGCGATCTTGAATTATTCCTAAATGTAGAAAGATACATTCAAAAGAAACAATTAGTCCACCCTTTTAAGATTGACATCTCCAAACAACCTATAAAGGCTTCCAAGAAAAAACAAAGAGATATATATATATATATATATATATGTGAATTGAGAGAAGTGAAAAAGGATACAACAAACACAATAATCAGCATGTAGCAAATTATTGGACATTTATGTATGTCAACATGGTGAAGCTGAAGGCCTTCCATTTTTTCACAGATTTTGTATCCAAAAAGGCATCTTGCAAGTACAAAATAATAGTCGTGTACGAGCGAAAGTTTCCATTTAAACAAAAAGGGGAGGTTTAAAAAAAATTTTGATGGTGATAATATGACAAAAGATAATTTTGGGTTGGGAAAAACTAAAGACATGACATATGTTAACTTTGACAATTCCCTAACAGCCAATACCCCTTAAGCCCCACAGGAGGACCATTATCGTTTAGAGAATATTAACAATAAACCCTCCAAGAAAAAAAACAAAAAGCTTACCTATCAGGACATAGATTTTCTCTACATAACTACCAATTACGTACTCAAATTGTTAAAACAACGAGTAACAGAATACAACCAAAAGAAAGAAATCAAAGTTATTTTCAGAATAAACCAAAAAAAAAAAAAGGTTCTTGGTAACAACGGCTCTATTCTACGACTGAGGGTAAAATTCCATGCCTTGGTTTGTGAAACCTGTTTAATCTCCCCGAAGCAACACCATGGTGGAACCCCTGATAACCCTTCCTTCTTAGTTCCTCCTCAAAGTGATGAACAGCAGGAGCTTGCTTAAGAGTGACAATGTACACAGCTGTAACTGTATCTGAATCTGAATCCCCCTGACTCAGAGTGTTCACAAACAACCCAAAACAAACTGCCAGCACCAAATACACCCAACAAACGTTCGCCATTTTCTTCGAAAACAAAATCCCAGATTCCCACCGACACGACCAACACCTCCTCTGAGATATGCAACAAGAAGCAAAGAAAAAGATCAGCAACCCAAACCCAAGTAGCTCATTTTGCGGCTGTGGTTGACAGTGGGGTGGGGTTTTGTTTGAGATGTAAGAGGTGAAGATTGAAGAAAGAAAAAGCTACGCTTTTGAGGAATGTGGGAAAAGCAAAAGAAATGAATTGGTAAGATTAGTAGCCATTAACTAAGACTCCATGGAAGGGAAGTGGGGAATGAGTGACAGTCACAGCTGCTGCTTTTTCTCCTTGCTTTATATTTTAAAGGGAAAGGAAAAGAAGGCTTTTGTTTTTGTACGCTTTTGAGCTTGGAGAGATGAGAATGGAATTATTAATTAACCTATAAGAAGGGGAAAGCGGAGGGGGTGGAGTTAGGAGAGAATCTGCAACTTTTCTCGGGTGTTGTGCCTGTTCTGAACGTTCTGTTGTTTATGCAAAGCACAGCCTAAAAAATATTATTAGAATACAAAAAAAATGAACGTTTTCTTTTGTTTTTCTCCGTTTCTAACTGTTGGGGATTTTCCTGTCTTTTACTGTTATTTCTTTTTTTTTATTCATAAAACTTCATTCTCTTTTTTTTTCTTAAAATAAAAAAATTATTTTTATTACATAGATAACTCAAATTATGCCTAATTTATTGAAGTACTGAATTTTCTTAAATAAAAATTAAATTTTTATATTTTCTAAAATTTACAATATTAATATAATAATTAACTGTGTTAAAATTTTTTTATTATCAATATTAATATAATATTTAACTGTATTGATTTAATATATTCTTGTTAATATAGTATTGAATCTAACTATGTATTATCTAAAAGTTATATAAGTAATAATGTGACGTTAATGTGATATTTTTATGATTTACACATAGTGAATGTTAATTTTTGTTTTTTGTTTTTTGATTTTTGACTCTTGTGGGTTTTTTTGTCCTTTTCACTGTCATTTTTTTATTCATAAAATTTTATTCTCTTTTCTTTTTTTTTCAACATTTTTAATATGTGAAAAATCATTTAAAAATTATTATGTTGATATAAATTTTGAAAAATTGACCTATTATTATGTTAAATATTAATTTATCAAACTTACAAATGATGACTGTTATAACTTTTTTGTATACTGAGATATACCAATGATTTAATTACTTTTTGAGATATTTGTATAATGAATAAGATTTTTAAATTCTTTATTTTTCTTGAACTTTTGAGATTTACAAATCACTTAAGTATATTCTATACATCAAAATAAAATTAAGGATACTTAGTCGTTAGTACTTGAAACCGACTCATAACCAATTTATAATGAGAAACTTCAAAATATATTTGTCTAATGCAAAATATAGATAAAATTAATTGAATCATACTTTGTTCAAATATAACTATATACTATGTTTTTATATATCTATACACTTTTAAAATATACACGCACGTACACACTTAATGTTAACTTAAAATCTTATATCTCAACTGAAATATTAAAGTAAATACATACATATTTTTTATTTTTTAATTAATATCATGTGATTATAAAGATTAATGATAATTAATTATTTTTTAAAAAAAGATTTTTTTTACTATTATTTACTTTTTTTCCCCCTGAAATGACAAGGGGGCAATCATTTAGCATGCCATCCAAAAAATTGTCCCAAACCCTTAAAATCAGGTTAATCAAAGCTTTCAAGACAAAGGAGCAATAAGGTTTTTTTTTTTTGGCTGAAAAAATAAATAAAGAAGAGAAAAGTCAAGGATAGTGGGGGGGTGCAAGCCATGGAAATGATGGTGTGGTTTGTGTGGCGGTCAGCCACTCACTCACTCACCCAACCTTTTTCGCCCTTTGTGGCTCTGCCTGGTCCATCTCTTTCCTCCCCAACGTTCCAATTTTAATAAGCCTCTTTTGTCTTTACCTGTACACAGTTTTTATGGATGACTTGTGGGAGTCATTGTGGGAAGAGGTGTGCCATTTCTCCACACAAAGCCCACCACAGTCGGTGCTAGTCCCACAAACTTAAATTAGGAATCTAATGGATATGGTGTCATCTGGAGTTAAGTAGATTTAGATTTTATATAATCCTATTTTGATCATAATCGTGTTACTTTAACATGAAATTATTTACATTTTTATACAGATTAACATGCATAATTTTGTATATGATATGTTTAGATACGTTTCATTAATCATTTTAAATTATGTTGTATCATGTAATCCACGTAATAAGCATGTCATATTTGTATCAAAGACTTTGACGTGATTAATTAATTTTGTTTATTTATTATACTTCTATCTTATATTTATATAAGATGAAAATATGAATTGTCGACTTTGATCTTGATATCTTTTCATTTTTATATGTATTTATTCAAATTTAGTGAACTATATATAAATTCAATTAAACACTTGTAAATAAAAATAAATAAATGAGATAATTTTTTTTAATATTAGATGCATTTAATATAAAATTAAAGGGTTTTACTAATAAATGCTAGAAAGATAGTTGTTAAGTAACATATTCAACTTAATGCATTAAATATCATCCTATCAACTATCAACTATAATATTTAATGCATAAATATGAAATTAATATAATGTCTTGACAAATACTTTTAAAAACATCTAAATATTTGATTCAATAATAAATATATGTATCCTCCTCCTCAAAAAGCTAAATCCGATCAACAATCGTCAATAAATTTAGTTATTTAGACTTGACACAAATTCCCATCGTTATATTGTTATAGTAACGTTATTTTGTTTCGACGGTCCAACTGTCCGACTTCGTAAACGATATCAAAGTTGATAAATATTTAATTTCAACATCTCCTAAATGTAGATTAGCATCAAAGATAGGAAAGAAGAAGGAATGATGTTGAGCTTTTGAAAAAGAGTGTGTGGGGGATGAAGGACATGATATTGTTTTGTGAAAAGCCATTGTTGGGACCGTTTGAGAAATAACATAAGAGTCGTTAAGAGTTGGTAGGCAGCAATATGCTCTTTTCGGTGTCAAAAAGAAAAGTTTGATTCCGTGATCATTACCATCACTTTGTTTTCCCTTCATCACCTCTCTTCTTCCATGTGCCTTTCTCCTTTGACCGTCCCACCTTTCTCTTTTCTTCTTACAAATTACAGCTAACCTATATATTATATAGGGTTGCAGTTTGGGTTGGGTAAATTCGAAAACGGACTCAGCTCGACTAGCATGGGCCGGTTCAAGTCCAGCAAGAGCCCAACGTGGGTCAAATTGGGTTTTTCGTCCACAACTGGTTTGCCTTGAGAAGCTGCAGTGTCCTTGAGCCGCTCAAACTCACAAGTGGCCACAACGAACATCAATCTCATCTAAGTCTGGATCCTCGGTGTTGGTAACAAGACACATCTTCTGAACCCTCAAGCTTTGCAAAACAACAACATACATTATCCTCAGATGCGATCAATGCACTTTGGTCACCGTTTTAAAACCCCATATTTTCTTAACCAGATAAGCCGTTGAAAACCCATTTTCAAAGCAAATACACACATCTTCATCACCAAAATCAAAGCTTACACCGGACTTATCCATTAAAGGGGAGAAGTGGGCGACCAAACGTCATATCACTGTACCAAATGTCGTCATCAATGTCGTAACGGAGAACACCAAAAGCTGGACTTGACAAGAAAATTTCCTTATAAGAAGTGAGTGTGAGGTAAGAGAATTCAGCAAATCCAGGCCTGACTGGATGACTACCAGTAACAAATGGTGGATAAGAGAGTGCTGTCCATTGATTCAGCTTTGGATCGAAAACTTCAAATGATAAATTGAACGATTCAATGAATTTTATCCCTCACACTTTAAAATCAAATAAACAAAACATTTTTAAAAATTGATCATGCAAAAGGGAGATTGAACTAGGTAAACATTGAATTGGTTTAATCAATTCAGTTTTAAATCAAAAATTAAATTTATCATTTTTTTGGATAAATTATAAGATTTGGAATGAAAATTAATATTAAAAATATATATTTTATATAAGTTTAAAATATTATATATAAAAATTTTACCTAAAATGGTTTGGTCATTAAGCTTGTTGGAAGAACAGAAAAAACAAAAAGGCCGCGGAGGATGGCGTTCATTGGAAACCAGAAGCATTGAGATAAGGCCTAAGACAGGGAAAGCAAGAAAGAAAGAAAGAGAAAGAAGGAAAGAATGGCGTCAGCCATTCCCCATCTCCATTTCCCTGTAACTTGGAAGTCCAATCCCAGAATAAGGAAAAGGAAACCAGCAACAGCAACAGCAACAGCTTGCTCTCTTTCTGAGGCTTCCCCTCTTTTCCGAGCCGCCAAGCACACTGTACTTCACTCTACAATCAATTTTCTGTTGGTCTTTTTCACCTACATGATACTACTGAATTGCAAATTTTTGTATAACTGGGAAAATGTTCTTTGGGTATGTTTAATCACCCAAACATTTATCATTTTCAGCTCTCAAACTTTCATAAGTTACTAGCATTTGCCTTCCTCATGCTAGCTTTGCTTTGGCCCAGAATTTGTTCATTGATTAAAACAATTATTGTGAGTTCCCCTTTGGTTGTTACTTATCTTTTGTTATTTGCTTTCTGCCACCTCAATAGCAAAAGCTTAGCAAGTGGTATGAAGTAATGAATTAAAAAGAGACATTGGTTCCAATGATATTGTTTTATAAGCTAAAATCATGCATTTTGTTCTCCAAAAATGTTATTTATCAATTGGTACCTTAGCTTTCACATAAGGAGGAAGATTAATTATTTGTTTGTAGATAAGGAAGAAATGTAAGGCACAACAATATTGTGTTAATTTTGATTTTTATAGGCCTGCAAGACTGATTCTTTGGATATGTAATTAGTGGTTTAAGGGTTATTTCCAACTTCTGCTCCGTTTTCACATGGATTAGTATTCTTTTTCAGCTTAGTTAAAATTGTATTCATTAGAGCCATGTAGTTAGAAGCGAATGAAAAAGCTTTAAGATAATAGGCTTGGAAGGCGCTAAAGGTGAATGTTGTGAGCTTTCGAAATCTTTTTGAGCTAGGGAGTTCCAAAGTTGATGAGTACATGCTATGATTCCCTCTTCTAGTAATTTGCTTCCAAGAACACTCACTTAGTTTCTGAATCTCACAGTTTATAAAAATTTAAATCAAACTAGGAGTTGAGTTGTTAGTTCTATATAATTGGTTATATTGTGGCCTAATAGCTGAGGAGAAAACATGATATGAGGAAAAAGCAAATGCAAATGGGTGAGTTTAGTGCACAGATGGTGGTGCTGCGCTGGAAAAGTGCAGCATTAAAATCCTTGGCAAATCAAGAGAAATGCAACACATGCGTGTGTATGTCTATATGCATGTTGATTCTTTTTTGTCTGAATTCTTTCTTAAACTTTATCTATCTTTCTATGCAAATGTGAATCTATATGAAATAATTAAAAAAAAAGCACGATTTATTTCTTTTCTTTTTTATTGCTAGGTTGATACATTTGTAAAAAGTGGAATGGTTATTGGACTGGGGTCTGGTCAAGCTTCAGGCATGGCCATAGAATATTTGGGTCGGCAACTTCGTGCAGGTGCATTAAAAGACCTAGTAGGGATACCCACGTGAGTTTTCATTTTTCTCTTCTCACATCAATAATAGTTTTTCTCTTTTGAATTTTATCTACCCCTCCCCATTTTCCATTTCCATCTAGTTTTTTGTCATATGAATTCTCACACCTGGAATGATTTTATTGAAGGATTCCATTCTTAGTCTTGATTAATGCTTTTCTAGACTGTGCAAAGTAAATAATATATTTCATCAAAAGGGCATTTATCTAGGATATCTTCTGTTCTGACTTTCTCATTGATTTGCATTCAAAATGACACAAAACTCTTGAGTTAAAACTTAACGATTGCATTTGAATGTTCTTGGTGGAAAAATCAATATTGGGGCAACTTTTCCCCCCTTTGAACTTGTCCTGTCCTTTGGAGCTCTTTTATTCTACTATTATTTAGGTGACACTGGTTTACTATTCTGAGAAGGCTCCATGAGATGTGCAGCTCTTCTTTCCTATTTTTGTCATTTGGTGATTCTCTGTCTTCTTGCTTGGCTTGTATAATTATTATCATCTGCTTTACTGCATTCTCATTTTATTTAATTTTGCTTTTCAAGAGAACCATTTTTTCTTTTTCAATTTTTGTTTCTTATACGTCTGTTTTTTGCAGCCTTATATGTTATTTACTATTAATATGTCTAAGTTGCTCTAGATTTGTGCAGGTCTGTAGTGAGTGCAAGTGAGGCAGCAAAGGCAGGGATCCCATTAGGAGAATATGAAAACAGTTCTCAAGTAGGTCCTAACTCTAGTCAACTGATAATTTTCCATTAATTGGGCTTTGACGGTTGCTTCTTTGTTTTACAGTTCTGCTTGAATGCTTTAATTTGTTGAACTGAAAAAAACTCTTCGTCAAGCATTTCCTGTGAATTTATTTAAGCAAAATCTGCAGTAGACTGAAAAGTTTCTTCTTTGTTGTTGGGCCACTAAGCATTTACAGGTCAAAACAAATAAAAAAATGCCATTAATTACTATTATATGATTATGTTTCTTCTGTAGAAATTAGTGCTCTACTTCTATAATTTTATTTCCAGCCTTTAGACTTTCATGGTTCAGACCTTTGCTTCAAAATTCAAACTTTATTATGGTAAGAAGTAGGGTTGCTTTTTGCAGATTGATTTTGCATTTGATGATGTTGATATAATAGAGGAAGGAACACTAATTTCAGTCATTGGACGCCGAAGATTGCAAGGTGAGGAGTCCATAATCCAAGAGAAGGTGAGTCAAGTTTTGTTGTCTGTCCTATTTCCATGGCTCTCTAGGCAGAGCCATAGCGTGGAAATTTACCTGAAGACATGTAAGTACTCAAGATATTTCTTAGCGTTAATGCTCTGAATTTATACAATCTAAAATTTATTCACACTCTATTTTAATTGCGTCAGTCTGAAACACTTATTGCTAACTTTCACTTGCAGTTGGTGCTAAGCATAGCTGATCAGCTTGTATTCATGGTTAAAGAAGATCTATATAAATGTGGTTTAGAAGGTTCTATTCCAGTTCTAGTAGAATCTGTGAGTAGCTAAATGCATCTGCTCACTGCTACAAAGGAACGAAAAGAATGACGAACTGATTTAACACATACATTTTTCAGCTCAACTGGTTGGAAACTGCTGAAGAGATTGATGACCTATTTTTAGGTGATGCAGAGGTAAGCTCCTTTAAGGACAATATCTCCCATACTTTGCTATCTGTCTGTCTATCTATCTATCATGCTTTGCTTTGCTTTGTGCAACTCATCTCCTACCATGCTTTGCTTTGTAGTTAATGTGGTTGGGTTATTTCCTTTGGCCAAAAGAAAGAATAGTTATAAGGAGCATAACAATGTGATGTTCATGAAGAATTTTTGTTATCTATAAGTTGATTGCAGCTGCTGAGAAGGGTGTGCAAGTATGCTTAATAAGTTTAAATAATTTCACAATTGTATATCTTTCTCAATGCTTTTCTCTTCTGTTTAAGAATTGACTTCTTAGAGGACTGGGAAGAAAGAACAATTTTCTTGGTTGTCAAGCTAGTGCAGATCATAAAAGGATTAAGAAAATTTAGAAGTCATGGACATTCTTGATTCTTTGCTTGGGCTTCCTTTTGACTTTAGCAGTTAAGGGTTATCCGGTAAAGTTATAGATATATCGTAATGGGCTATGGCATAAGCATTGGCTCCAGAGTCTTTTTATTATTTATTTTGGGCTGTAGAGTAGGTTCTAATGGTCCAATTTACTAGGTTAAAGATATGAGTAGTCTATCTGCATCTTTGTAGTCATCAGCCTGCTTTCCTGTTTTAGAGCAGTTTGCATCAAGATTTTTTCCTTATTTTGGCAGCCTTTAGCCTGATTGTTTAGGTCTTTTCTATTTTTTCAAATATTTTCTTTTTTTCCTTTTTATTTTTTATTTTTTTGCACATAGCTAGATTTTCATAGTCAATATGTCTTTATTGGCATCACCCAAAGTTTTGGCCTCATTAGAATTTCAAACCTTTCACAGAGAACAGTTAGTATACTGGAATGCTGCTAAATGAAAGATCTTTTGTCGGCAGAGCATTCTATTCTACATCAGGAGACTTAGTCAAAGAAAGTAGAATCTTCTCAAAGTATTTACCATTGGCCTTTCCCTTTTTTTTTTTTTTGGTCTCTGAAAACAAACTACTTGCCAGTGAGTAGTTTCCTTAGCACTGTGGTTTTATAATTGTATTAGTATGCAGGATATTTAATGAGCTCTCTATTTGGTCAATTTGTATTAAATTGTAAGTCCTTTTCTAATCTAATGATTTTTCTTCCTTTGCTTTGTTAAGGTATGGAGGAGACCATCTGTAGGACACGCAGGTCCACTTGGAGGTGACTTTCCATTAGTTACTACAGAAGGTCATAATGTTCTTGATGTCATCTTTACATCTCCAATAGCCAGTCTTGGTAGGTTTGAGAATCATCATGTTTTAATGTAATGACAAATTGCTCATTTGTTGGAATTTTTTTTTCTGAGCTGCATAAATTTACTTGTAGCTGAAGTTGCTAACAGCCTTGAAAAAGTTGATGGTGTTGTAGACCATGGAGTTGTCTCCAAATTCCCGTGAGTTTCATTCTTCCCTTGTGAACTTTCTTTTCTTTCCTTTTCAATGAACACTTACTGAAGTAAGATAACTTAGTGTTGTGAGTCTAATATTTCAAATTGAGCTTAACATTCATAGTCCTAATTAAAGTTTAAAATTCAGTGACATGGATGGGGATGAGATGCATCTTAAACATTGGTACTCGTGATTCTATCTGCTAGGTGTCTGTGACTTATTATTCTACTCTGATTTTTTCCATCAAGTGATGCATTGACTGTGCAAGCCAGAATTAGTTGTTGTATTCCTCCCCACCCCCACCCCAAATCTGGACAAAACAAACACATGTAAATACACATATTTACCTAATATTATTGCATTGATTTGGTGATTTCCCGTATTATGTTATGTTTAATCTAACCTCCTCTTGATATGATGAACTACAGATGCAAAGCAATTGTCGCTTCTGAAAGTGGATTGTCAATTGTTGATAATGTTCCAACAAACACAGTTGGAGGAGTTTAATCAAGCAAGCTTGCCACATAGACTATTGCAGTATAGTTCTTGCATGTAAAATTATAAATGGAATATTGGTATAAACTTCTCCTTTTGACTGAGAGAGAATCCTCAAGTTTTTCATTCAATATCTCTAGCTTTTTGTCTCTCTCTCCCTAGGCGAAGGCATGACTCAAGTTGCTCATTACCATATAGGAGAGATTTTGACAGCATAACTAGCATACATGCTTGAAGTTGTACTTGCTCCTACATATCGTTCTGTAGGTTTAAATGTGGAAAGATGGCATTTATCCGACTCACAATGCTTCTCCCATGCGCAAGAGACTAGGGCATTGTTATAACTCATAATTAGGTTATAATACAAAATTGGTCACTTCTTAAGTTTGCTTTTATTGCAGATGTGTTTAACTCTTAAGTCTGGTGTCCAGCTTAAGGAAACATGAAGGTGCAAATTGAGATATGATGTGGCATCATGTGGACTATGCATCTTGAATGTTACAAACCATGGATTGATAGAGAAACATGTTTCATTAAGAATTGAATTCGCAAAGATAATGCAATAGGACTTTGATGCATTTGGAATTAAGCAAGCATAGTTGAGAAAATAGAGTTCATTTAGCTGGTCCTAGTTAGCTTTGGAAGACATTAAGGCTTACCTGAGCCTGAACTTAACGTTCAAGAATCCAATGTGTGAATATGCAGTAAATTTTCCGAAAATGCTTACTGTGACAGTGAGACTTTGAATTGTCGTCTTGAGCTATCTTGTTGCTGGACATGGTGTCGTTATGGATGTTGGTTTTTGTTTTTTGATAATATGGATGTTGATTTTGTCCATTGACCTTCTAGATGACAAAATCTTTTACTGATCTTCCTTCACTAGTCAGGGGATGAGTCAGGGCAGGAGCTTTACACTTTGTTCCTGGAAAAACATTATACCTGAAACCAGAACTGGAAAAAAATAGCTTAGAGAAACATCAATAGCCAATAATGAAACCTTAGCAGTCACTTTCAATCCAAGACCTTGGCTACCTCCAGAAAGAATTTGTTGTTCCACCTGTTCCATTTCATTTTATTATTATTATTTTTTTAACGAAACATGAACTATATTTCATTGCAAAACAGTATATGATATGCCAGGTTAATTTCCAAAGAAACAAGACAGAAAGCAAAAACAAAGAGCTGGAAGACCATCCTTGTTAAGAATGTGCATTAAAGAAGATGGAATAAATTCAACCCAATTTTCTGAGGACATCCCCTTATTCAGTTGAGTTCCATTATATAATTTTATTAAAAAAATATCAAAATTGAGTTTATTTGATAAAAAGTTAATAAGAAAATTACATAACAAGATAAGATCACATATTATGTTATCACAATTCATAAAATATACAAAAATAAAATATTATCATTAAATTTCAAACATTTAATTCATTAGTTGATACATGATCCTTTATTTAAAAAACAAAATTCAACTCCTTCTTTTTTCAATTATAATATATATATATATATATATATATATATTATCGATAGTCTAATATTGTGACAATTAATGTAACACATTTTACATGTTGAGTTGAAAAATTAAAGCTTTGGTCAATATGGTGATTAATATATGTACACACACAAAACACATTTACATTGAAGAAGTTGGGATTCATACCTAAATGAACATATGTTTCTGAATTTCAATGTCAATAATTTTCCACGTTGATGTTCTACGAAATCTCACTGCCATTATTTTCTTTTTCTTGTATTTCCCCTTGACATAAATTGAAATTTAGGTTACGTTTGGTATTTTACAATGCAATGTAATTACAGGTAATATGATTATAAGCAATGTTATTGCAGAGAAAATAACATTACAGTGTTTGGTATACAAACAAAATAATGATTAAAATATAGAGAAAATAACATTGCAGCGTTTAGTTTACAAGTAAATATAATGTTAATTTTTAAAATTATCACTAGTTATTAAAATACAAGTTTAATATATTTATATTTTTTATTATTAATTTTTATATAATATCATCTCTTAAATATATTTTGAATGTCATATATTTTATTTTTATTTATTATTATAATCTTATATATTTTATTTTTATTTCTTTAATATAATTTTTATATTATATATATTTTAATTTATTTTACTTATATTATATAAATTTTAATTTTTTTTATATTTTATTTTATTTTTTGATTCTTACATTATATATTTTATTTTAATATTTTTATTTTAATTATAATATTATAAAATATTTTTAATAAGGTAATAAAGTAAAAGGGTAAAAATATCTTTAAGAATATTGTAATGTGCAATCTAATATGATTGTTTTATAATCTTATATTGCAGTGATCTGTTATAAAATAAACAACTATAATATAATTTAATTAGACACATTGTAAGGAATATGTTATCACTTTTCTCATACCAAACGTTATACTAATGTCAATTAAATAATTTTTTTTAAAAAAATATTAAATTATATAATAATAATAATAACTCGAATTCACATTGTTCGAGCTTAGATTAATTATTCGATTTTTTCTACGAATGATAGGCAGCAATTGAGTCAACGTTTTATATGTACCTAATCAAAAATGGAAAGTCTCTCTAGTTGGAAGTCAACACAGGTCCTTTTCCTTCCATTTTTTCTCTGGCAACCAACCCCACTTGATCCTACTGTTTATAGTCTAACATTTTATTTAATCAAATCAATGTATAATTATTTAGATGCAAGGCAGTAATTCTGATCATCATGTGCATGTAAGTGTTACAAGTAACCGTAAAATAAAAATTTATATTTGATACATTGTCGTCGTAATTTTTATATAGAAATTCAATTTTTTATAATAGTTTAAGATAATTATTAAGATGTGAATAAGAATAGAATAAATATGAAAATGCATCTAATCTGAATGGAAAATAAGTTTATTTCATAAGCTTAAGTTTAAGGTTTGTTTTTAAATATTTTATACATTTTTATAATTTTTACATTAATTATAATAAAATAAAAATTATGGATATCCAATTAGGCCAGTTAAATATTTATTAAAAAACATTTGTTGTTTCCTTATTCCTTACGGTAACGTGGAATTGAATTGTGGGATGGAATGATGACAACTGCCGAGAACCGCTATCGATTATAGAAACCTGAGAAATTTGATGGAATTACATGACATAGTTCCATGTTTGATTAATGGCAAATCTGAAATGGCTCGAGGATTTCAGTCAAGTTAAGCAGACTGGTATCCGACGAAGACCGTCACCAGAAAAGAACCAGCACACGAGGAAGTCAATTAATTAATTATGACGCAGCGGGATTTATAATGGGTGAAGATTTCTTCTGATTAAATTTTTAATTTTAATTTTAATTTTTTAAGAGTGTAATTGATGGATATATATATATATATATAAACGAGGGGCATGGCCCTCGGTTTCTTTACAGATGTAAAGTAAATTCAACAAAAGACTGCTCTATATATATATA